CGGTCCGTGAGTTCGAGCCCCGCGTAGGGCCCTGTGCTGACAGCTCGGAGCCTGGAGCCTGTTTTGGGTTCTGTGTCTCCCTCTCTCTGACCCTCCCCCGTTCATGCTCTGTCTCTCTCTGTCTCACAAATAAACGTTAAAAAAATTTTAAAAAATATATAGGGTAGAATTAAAGACATTTTTAAAATAAAAACTGACTCAAAAAGTTTTTACTAAAGTAGGAAATTGAATTCAGTGATGGTGCGTGCCTTCTTTTTAAGCCTTCTTTTAAAAACTGGTCATGCCCTAGGCAACAGAGCAGGTTTCAAAAAATACTAAAATTCTGAATCATTCTGGTCACAATGGAATTACTTTAAAACTCAGTAAGAAAAATGTAACCACACATCCAAATATGAGAGCACACTTGTAAATATTTCATGTGTAAAAAAGACCTAATGAAATGAGAAATATTTAGAACTGAACTAAGGAAAATGCTGTATGATAACTTGTGAGATTAAGCTAAGGTAAACTTAGAATAAACCTAGATATATATGCATTTAGGCTTATTGAACCTATATAATAACAACTGAAAATGAGTAAGCTAAGTAGATGAATTAAAACATTCATAAAAGAATAAATTAAGCCCTCCCAAAAAAGAAGGGAGAAATAATAAAGATAGCAGAAATTAAGAAATAGAAAACAAAGAAGAGGGAGGAGTAACTAAATGCAAAGATACTCCTTGAAGGTGCTCAAAAAGGTAAATAAATCTCTTGCAAAACTGATTATGGGAAAAGGATTTGAATGACTGATAACATTAGGAAATGAGCAAACTTGTTTAATAAAGTAACCCACAGAAAAGAAATCCCAAGTGGCTAATAAAAATAGGAAATGTGCAGCCGTATTAGTAATGAGAATTCAGAGAAATTCAGAGAATAGAGACACGCCACGTACCATTCGTCAAAGTTGGTAGAATATTAAAGACTCAAAAACCAAGTTAAGCAAAGATATGTAGTACCAGGAGCTCCCCTGGACCCTTGGTGTATGTATGCACTGGAAAGTAGTTTTGCAATGTCTAGTGAGGATGTAGATACACATGCCCTACAGCCTAGCAATTCCCTTCCCTGATGTAGCCCTTTAGGCAGCTCTAACACGTGTGCGAGAATGACCGTTGTGGCACTATTTTTAATGGCAACAAGTGGAAGGTACTGAAGGCCATCATTAAGACATTGGGTAGAGTGTGGCAGTTCAGATAACAGAGTAGGTATCAAGATGGCTAAACATCATGTTGAACTTTTGGGGGGAAAAGTTGCAGAAGAAAGGTAAATGATTTATTCATACAAAGTGTTAAAATGTGTGAAGAAGTACTTGATTTTCTCAATTTACTTATGTGGCAGTTGTGATTTGTGATAAATACATACTTGGTCTTTATCCCCATTCTAGCATAGAATCCTTGTACTTTTCTACTGAGTGGTAAAGCTGTCTTATGTTTATGAGATGATTTTAGAGCCCACCTAAGCATGGGGGCTGTTTGCCTAGAGAATCAACAGTGTGATTAGAACTGGAACTTTCACTTCCACCTACCCCCCACATCCTTCCAGACCTCAGGGAGGAGGCAGGCTAGAGGCTGGATAAATTGCCAATGACCAGTGATTTAACCAATCAAGTAAGCCTCTATAATGAAGCCTCTGTAAAAAACCAAAATAAGGGGGTTGAGAGAGCTTTTCAGGTTGGTGAACAGATGGAAGACTTAGGAGGTTGTGGGAAACCCTGATCTGTAGCCAGTCAGAAATACAGGTAATAATTTGGACTAGTGTCTGAAGTACAAGGAGAGAGGGGCATCTGGGTGGCTCAGTCAGTTAAGCTTCTGACTCTTGATTTAAACTCCGGGCATGATCTCATGGTTTGTGAGTTGGAGCCCCTGCAGTTGGGCTCTGTGCTGACAGCATGGGACCTGCTCGGGATTCTCTCTCTTCCTCTATCTCTGCACCCCCCTTCCTTTCCCCACCCCCCCCCCCCCCCCCCCCCGCGTGCAAATAAATAAACTTAAAAAATGGAGTACAAGGAAGAGAGTGGTAAGAACCTCCCATCTGTAGGTTACAGTCTGGGTTTATGACTGGCATCTGAGGGGGAGTGGGGGTGGAGCAGTCTTGTAGGACTGAACCCTTAACCTATGGAATTTGAGTTCTATGTGCTGTGTTGGTATAGTGTTACAATTGAGCATATTGTAGGATACCCAACTGGTATCCAGAGCATTGCTTGTTATTGGTGTGGAAACCACCCTGCCTATGTATAAGCCAGGTTGGAACTGGGTCTAGGAACCTAAAAATTTATGTAATAAAAGTTGTAAAAACATGCCTGGGAATAATAAACACAAAATCCAGCATGATAATTACCTTTGTGGAAAGAGAAAAGAAAAATGGGTTTGAATATATATATACACACACACACACGCATATATATATACGTTGACTGTATCCAGACAAAAACCTTTAAATATATATGTGTGGGTGTATATGTACATTTATATGTACATATGTGTGTATGTGTATACACACACACACACACGTTTTTTTGTTTTTTTAAGTAGGCTTCACACCCAGCTCAGAGCCCAATGTGGAGCTTCAGGACCTGAGCTAAGATCAGGCTTAACTGACTGAGTAACCCAGGCACCTCCATAATAGCACTTTTCAGTAATTAGTATAAATATTTTCATCTGTATCCTGTTCATATGTATGTATAGCGTTTATCCAAAAAAGTACACTCTACATTTTTGTTTTTCCACCTGCTTTTTATGCTATATCTTAGAAATAAAGATATGTCTTGGAAAAAAAAAATCTGTCGTAAGTGCTTTGAAGGCTGAATAGCATTGTACTGTGTGATCATGTTGTAGTGTATTTAACCAAACCGCTATTGGTTTTTCCAGTTTTTGCTTACATTCAATACTGCAGTGAACATACCACGCATGCATCTTTGAATATTTTCCATTTGTTTACTCAGAATAAGTTCTAAGATTTGCTGGATCAAAGGGATTGCATAATAAACAGTGAGGCTTACCTACTAGGAAGTTTCCAGCAGGCTGGAAACTCAGGAGGTGATGCTACAGTCTTGAAGCAGAATTGCCTCTTCCCTAGTGATGCTCAGTTGTTGCTCTTCTCTGTCAGCCCGTATTGATAGGTAGCAGTTCTTTGCTGAATATATGTTTTGCATACATCTTAGTTTATGGCTTTGCCTTTTTATTTCTTTTTTTTTTTTTAACATTTTATTTATTTTTGATAGAGACAGAGCACAAGTGGGGGAGGGGCAGAGAGAGCCAGAGACACAGAATCCAAAGCAGGCTCCAGGCTCTGAGCTGTCAGCACAGAGCCTGATGCAGGGCTCCAACTCACAAATCGCGAGATCATGACCTGAGCTGAAGGCAGACGCTTAACCGACTGAGCCACCCAAGTGCCCCTCCTTTTTACTTTCTTTGTGGTGTCCTTTAATGAGGAGAATTTCTTAACTTTAGCATAGTCTGTGTAACTTTTTTCCATAATTAGCTCTCGAGCCCTCTTTAGTTTTTGTGTATTGAGAGGTATTTTTTGTGTTTTCTTACTTTCATTTATGTTTATAAGTGGAAAGGGGGCATAATTCACATTACCCAAACTGTTTTCCATGGAATCCTGTGTTCTACGATATTTTGCAGTTTAAGTGTTAATCCACCAAACATTCTTTTCTCCTGCTGGGAACAGCACTTCCCCTCTCTTTTTGGGGGGAACATCTCAGAGCCCACCTATTGGAGCATTTGACATTCTTTGCCACAGATGTAAGCTCTTGACCCATACTGGACTAATGTCAGTTTTACCCCTTAGCCGTAGTGATTGGTCCAAATATGGCCTTAAGACTCCAGGTGGGACAGTCAGGGAGGTGACTGAAGAGCTGTTGGCCACTGTGGTTCTAGGTCACTGAGACCACAGCACAAGAAAATGAAGCCAGTTTCAAAAGAGAAGTAGAATGGAGACACAGAGTGATCTTGGCAGTGTTGAGTCTCTGGCTGCCAAAAAACTCATTCCACCCTGGACCTTCCTGTGGGTTTGCTTAGGTGGGCCAGTAGATTCCCAATTTTTATTGAAATCTTTTTATTTATTTATTTATTTGTTTGTTTATTTTGAGAGCACACGTCTGTGTGCACATACAAGCAGGTGAGGGGCAGAGAAAAAAGGGGAGAGAAGATTGGAAGCAGGCTCTGCTGACAGCTGAGAGCATGACGCAGGGCTCCAGCTCACAAACCGTGAGATGATCACGACCTGAGCCGAATTCAGATGCGTAACCAACTGAGCCACCCAGGCGCCCCTGAAATCTTTTTTTTTTTTTTTTTTTTTGAAGTCTGGAAATAAGTACATTTTAAAGTGTAGTTACATGATCATACACGTTTGAGAATGCTTCTGTTATATCTTACTCTTAGAGATTCGCAAAGTATGTTAGCCTACTAAAGGCCATCACAAAACATGCAGTAGAAGAAGCCTGTTTATCTTTATTTAACCCAGTGATTCTCAAACTTATTTTTAACATGAATACTTTTTTATGATGCTTCTATTAATGTCTCATAGAATCTTGGCCAGCAGATCATCGGCTTGGGAAATGTTATCGTAGGCATGGAAGGGCCTAACTGCAAGCTGGCAGAGGAAAGGTGCTTTCATTTCTGAGTTAGGTTTTGAAAAATGCTAACACCTATTGAATTTTTAAAATTTGGCAAAGAATCCTCTGATTAAAAAATAAAAGAGAGGGGCGCCTGGGTGGCGCAGTCGGTTAAGCGTCCGACTTCAGCCAGGTCACGATCTCGCGGTCCGTGAGTTCGAGCCCCGCGTCAGGCTCTGGGCTGATGGCTCAGAGCCTGGAGCCTGTTTCCGATTCTGTGTCTCCCTCTCTCTCTGCCCCTCCCCCGTTCATGCTCTGTCTCTCTCTGTCCCAAAAATAAATAAACATTGAAAAAAAAAAATAAAAGAGATTTAATGCTAGCAATCTGCAAACCTTCTCTTGTGCAGGTTAGCCAGTATACCTTCGCTATGTGCAGTTATAGAGAAAAAAAGTCTGAACCACAAGAACTAATGCAGCTTGAAGGATACACTGTGGATTATACAGATCCCCACCCAGGTAATTCTAAGCCGAATCTCTTTCTCTGCTATGTATTCATGAAATTCTCATAACTCTCCTGTCTCTGTTCTACGTTTCAAGCTCCATTGAATGAATAGGGTGCATATTTCACTGAGGTACCTGGACAAGACTTCATGAGATTCGACTTCTACCTTTCTGCGGACTACTTAGCTTTAGGCTAAACTCATCATTTCTGTCGTCTTTAGGACAAGGATGCAATAGTGAAAGTTACAATAATTGGAAAAATTCTGTGAGCAATATCAACACTGCTTACATAAACTTTAGTGGAAGGCAAAAAGTTACAAGAGACAAATAGGGAAAGAAATGACCAATGAACTTTTATGTAGTCTATCAATTTTTTCCCCAATAGCACATTCTTATACTTCTCTCCTTACCTCCATATTAATACTAGGTATGTAGTAGACATTTGGTGTCTAAAATTGGTAAGAGAATGAATTAATGAATATGTGGCCATGAATGAAATTAATAAAGCAATATTAAGGAATACATAGATTTAATAAATGCAGAGATTAAAAATTTCACATAGATGAAAAGTAGGAATCTGTGATCATGTTCACTAATTGGTCAGTGAAAAATGAAAAATGTCATCTCTGTGAAAGAATTTTGCGGAGGATAAGATGCCATACAGATAAAAGCATCATTTTTGCCTTTTCTGCTAAAATTACCGTATATTTCTCCTGCATCTAGCATTAGAAATGTGCCAAAAGAAGACTTTCTTCTCTGGCCTGAGCTTTCAGGATACACTATATATTTCTATGGAGTAGGTTTATATGGCTTACATAATGTTACTGTGCCATGAACTATTTGTTTCCCTAGGCTATTTTTAATTTTTAAAGTAGTACGGAAATTTAAACTTTTCTTAGTAGTATCGAGCTATTGATATCAAATTCATTCTTTTCTATGAGACCATTTAGGGAATGAGCTTAAAACTCTGCCAACTACGTAAGTTTTTTTAATGATGTCTTTCTTTCTCCACAGGCCTTCAGGGTGGACAGATGTTCTTTAATGCGGTTAAAGAAGGAGACACGGTGATATTTGCCAGTGATGATGAACAGGATAGAATATTATGGGTTCAGGCCATGTATAGGGCCACAGGTCAATCATATAAACCCATTCCTGCGATTCAAACCCAGAAACTGAATCCTAAAGGAGGGACTCTCCATGCAGATGCTCAGCTTTGTAAGTTTTGTTAAAACATAATTTCATTATCAATTAATAACCTTAATAATATATAAAATTGCCTGAGGCAAATTTGTTCAGTATCATAGTTTACATCATTAACGAATTCCTAATTGAATAAAAATAGTTTGTATTAGTCATAGAATCAGCTCTCTAATTTTTCATATGGATCTGGAATAAATGGTGCCTGGGTTTTCAGTTACAAATTTGCCAAGCAGTGGGGTACATTTGGGCATCTCAAGGGCATATAAGAAAATTCTCCAAAACTTCTAAAAGAAAATTTATTTTAATACTTATAATTGTAACGTTTTTTTATGTGTTTTACAAAAATGGAAAAAGTATTGCAAAATTAAATGGGCATTGATAGGACTCCAGAATACCAAAATCATGAACCGTCTTTCTAGGGTTGTTCTTAACTCAGAAGAATAAGAGGGCTATTTTCTGTTGTAGATTGACAAAAAAGAATGAGTCATCAAGCCAACTTTCTTTATCTAAATACCTTAGTATTCATGTCATCCTTTTTATGCTAATTTAAATCAAGAATTTTATTCTTCATTTGAATCTACAAGTGATAACGAATGATGTAATAATTACAGAAACGTTTTCAAACACACCTTTAATAATCATTAAACCCAGATATTCTAATTTGTTACACTTGCAAAACTTCTCTGGTCTCTTCTGTAATAAGACTTTTTTTGGTATGACTTTAAATTCAAATTTTGACTTTTCATTCAACACCCTTTACTGTTAAGGTTCTTCTCCAGGAGAATAACATCTTGACTTGCGTTATTTTGTTCTCCACATCAAATAACTACTCTCTTTTCTTTTTGAGCCCCCTTCAGTATCACATCTAGGCATCTTAACAGTACATAAGACCAAATAATTAAAGATGGAATATGAGCTCAACTCCAATTACCTTTGTGTTATACCATATGTATAGTATATATACACACATAAATATATATACATATATGTATACATATAGTATATATACACAGGCACATATATACACACACACCACTGTGTGTCTGTGTGTGTGTGTGTGTATATATATATATATACACACACTGTATATATAACATATATATAACAAATATATATCTATGTAAATATACATATGTATATACACCGTATGTATAACATACACTTTATGTTAGCTAACAGGACAATGAATTATTTTTTAAAAAACTAAAATAAAAAAGAATACTGATCTTTACCTCTATCAGAGAAACCATTTAACTTTCCAGAGAGTAGTTAGCCCTTAGTATTTTCTTCATTCCATGACTTCCATAGCATTACTTTTTCTTCTTTTTTGGTCATCTCTTGGAAGAACAACTTTTAGAGTCATTAATAGAAACTAAGAAGATAACATGAAAATAAAGTGACTAGTTATAGAAATAAATATTCTCCTAATCTATTTATTATGCTTTTTCACTCCTTTGCTGACCTATAGCTGGTAAAGGTGAGTGTTTTCATGATTTTCTTTTTGCTTCATTGTATTAAAATTTTTGTAATAATGTGATTGTTGAAGGAATATCATGGTCTTATTTACAATGCCAGGCTCCTACTTTCTAGGCAAACCCAGAATATTTAGGTTAACTTTGCCATTTATGAAACAAAAACGTATATTTTTGCCACAACAGAGAAGTAGAAACAACCTAATATCTACCATTCATATGGGCGTAAAGGTCATGGCTGCGAAGGTATTACAACAGCCTGCAAAACACTACTCAGTAATGTTACGTGGAAAAATACTAAATTGTGTGTATGGTATTTCACTATGTTAAACACAGTTTTATAAATAGAATAAATTATTCACAGTATATGAGTTTAATTAAAGGGACTAGTTGCTAGTCCATTTCCTCTATTTCCTGAATTATCTTTGAAGTATTTATGTTATAACTTAAACCTTTTTTAGAACTAAACATTTTTTAATGTTTAGAGATAGAAAAAAATAATAAATTTATAGTCTAACTTATTTGAAGATAACCTTATTTTAGGATATAAATAAAGGTATGTATTTATAGATTTTTCTAGTAAGTGAATCTATTCAACTTCCCTGTTTCTTTAGCTTTCAGGATATTTAGAAATTTTAAGAAAATAGAGTAAACTGAACAGATAGAGAGTCGGCTTGATATCCAGTTTCTCTGCTTCAGATAGTAGTACATTGCCTTCTGCCAGACTGACAGGCAGTCTTTGATTAAACTGTCCTTTTCTATGCAAAGCAACTGTTTTTCATTTTTCTCTCATGTATATAATGCAATACAATATGTATGTAACACAATACAGTACAACACAGTTCATTTCCAATAATGTCAAAAAAGAACCAGAAAATTTACCTTTTTATTTTAAGCCAGATTAAAAAAAATCTTAAATTGGAATATAAGCTTACATTTAATTTTATGAGCTTATTTTCTTGATTAATCTAGTAAGTTGAATTTCACACTTCATAGGTATGTTTTATCTTACATTGAATATATTATATATATTATAACATACTATTTCAAATAATACCTTGCCTGTGATTCTAGTCTGTAAGTGTTGATTAAAATTGTCTTGTGAAAATACTCCTTATTTGTTATTCGTTGCAGAAAGCAAGATGTGTAAATTCATACATCCGGTTTTAATCAATTTAACAAAAACAAGCTAAGAAATTATTTGGATCGATAATAGAAGTGTGAACAAACTCCTAATTAATATACGTATCAACATTTCTCTTTGGTGTTCAGCATAATACATGTGTACATAAAACAAAAAATATTAACCAAGATCTACATAAAATTTTGTAACCTGGAACTTCCTATTAGTGGCTACCGTGGGTGCTATAAAAAGACAAGTGGTCCTTATCTGTCCCATGTTTAACTTCATGTGAATTTTCAAGCTCATTGAGAATTTGACCTAAAAGGAAAGTATAATCAGATGTGGATATCAGCAAATGCAGGTACCAGCAAGCTCTTAACCATAGGACAGTCTTAAATCAAGTTATTGTATTTGAAAAGATTCATATGCTGCTTAGTTCAGTTCAGGATTTTGCAGAGGAGGTGATGCACTCTTAGGTAGCAACACCTTTTTCATAGTCCTTTTGGTACCTGAGTCCCAGGTCTGAACACCAGAGTGTTCTCAGAATGCTAAGGGATGCCCGCCTCTTCCCCTGCAGTGTCACATTTGCCCTCCCTCACATCCTATTCTCCCGTTTTATATTCTAATTTCTCTCAACACCAAGAGCAGTGAGTGTACATGCGTGCGTGCGCGCACACGCACACACACACACACACCATCCTTAGAATTAGTTGCAAAAGAAGAAACATTTCAGTTGATTTTTTAAAAAAAATTTTTTAATGTTTATTTTTGAGAAAGACACAGTGTGAGCAGGGGCAGGGGAGGGGCAGAGAGAGAAGGAGAGACACAGAACTCGAAGTGGGCTCCAGGCACAGAGCCTGACGCGGGGCTTGAACTCACAAACTGTGAGATCATGACGTGAGGTGGAGTCAGACGCTTAACCAACTGAGCCACCCAGGTGCCCCTTCAGTTAACTTTTTTCCCCCTCACATCCTGAACTCTGACTTCAAATGCCTATCCTCGTGTTTGCGTTCTTGAGCACACAGGGGCCGGCTGTGGTCAGTGTCTACCGAAGAGCCCCCTCCCACACACCACAGGGGGGCCTACCAGCCTGCTAATAGTCCTCGCGTTGTTTCCTAGGCTAGCTGTTTTCAAGTCAGTGTTAACTGTTTAAATTGGTACTGTCAGCCTACTCATTCTTTTCCCTGGACTTCCAACAGATGTTACCCTAATGACAAATTTAAATTTTCAGGTTCCGTTTGAATAAGCCTCTATAATTCCATACATCTATAGCAAATAATAATCTTTCTCAATTTGGGTTTTATTCCATCCACTTTTACCACACCTGGGGACAGTACCACCTAAAGACGCTGGCGCATATAGCCAACTGTTACCATAGAAACTCTCCACCAGTATCCTCAATTACCATGTCCCACATCTGTAGTTAGTCCATAGGTTAATCATCACAATTTGTGACAGTTTTGCAGTGCGTTGTTCAAGCTCAAATCTTGTCGGTTTCTTTTGATAATTTTCTTACACCATTTCAGAAGACAAACTGAACTGAAATTTGTCCTTATCGGTGAACATTTGATTAGTGCCATGAATAATTTTTCATTTAAAACTAGTCACCATAATTTTGTGTTATAATAAACATTAATTGAAGATAATCGAGTATAACCCAGTTTTAAAGCCGGTCTCCAAGCTTTGCATTTGGTATGTAATTGATATCCAGATGATATCTCTGCATTTTCTAAGAGTAAATGTAGATATGTTACACCAAGAGAAAACTACATGAAAATATTCTTGTACAGAAATAAACTAGATAGTATTTCAACAATAGTTTTCCTATTGTACTTTGGTTCATGAGTGGGTGTTTTAAAGTGAAATATTTCTCACAGAGATCAAAACTGTTGCTTTTTCAAAATTTATTTCTTCATGAATTTATAGAAACTAATGAATCAGTGGTGCATCGTGAAATATATTTGCATGAAGTATTTCAAATTGTGCTTATAAGGTATAAAAAGAAAGTAGAACAGCTTGGTCTTTGCAGCCTGTATTTTGAAGATGGGGCAATCCCTAAGAATACATTTCACTTTCATGGAAATATAGCCCCAGCGAGATTGTGGGGTTTCTTTCTTTAATAGAATTTTGTTGGCCTGAATATTTTATCACTGTCGATATGGAGTCCATTTTTGTGACTTAAACTGCCATTAGGAATATTTTTATCATGAAAGCCAATTGTTGGCAAAGTAATTTTTCATTCATGTGTGTGATTCAGAAGGGCTTAACACATAGGTAAATGTGTGGTTTAGAGTTACATTTCATGAGGAAAATACTTCTTAAAGTAAATTCATTTTTAAAAATACGATTTGATTGCAGAAATGAACCATAAGTCATATTTTTCAGGACCTTGTAGATTTTATTTAAAGACTGTAAACACTTTGCTTTAAAATGAAAAAAAAATTGCTTCTATAAACCTCTATAAAGGGTGGAAGCAAAAAGAGAATTATGTACAATGTATTGTATGTATTTATGTATGTAATGTATGTATTTTGTAGAAGTGTAAAAGAATTGTGGATTTTCTGTGAAATTTATTGTATATCCTATTCTCAACAGATAAGCCTTAAGTGAGTGTTATTTTTAACTTCTTGTTATGACCTTCTCCGTTGAAAGAAATAATGAATAAAATTCAGATGTTTTATAAAACTAGTAATTTCATAAAGATGTTACTAAAAGATTTTTTTCACTCAAACAAACGGAGAAATGAAGATTCTGAGATTATTTAGAACACAAAAACAGTTTTATTATATATGTACCTTGCATTTTTCAATATGCTGTCTACTAATTTGATATTATTTTTGCATTATTATATATGTAACTTTATTTTGAAAGACTATTATACATACAAATAAAGCACAAGAGAAGTTGGATTGTCTCATTTCTCAATTCAGGAAGAGCAGTTTAATAACATTTGGTGTTCATCCAGTTAATACTAATTTACCACATGTAATGCATTTAATCATTCAGTTAAGTAATTAGTGAATGCAAGGGAATACATATGGCAGTTTCTCCATGCATCACAACCCAATACGTTACATCATCGATGAACACCCATTCATTGCTAACTTGCTGCATTCACATCTGCACTGATGTGAGATTTTTTTTTAATGTGATTCTGAAGACCCTTCAGCTTGAATTACATAGTTCTTCCATCCACAAATATGGCTGAAAGTTGAACTTGACATAGGATCAATATGATCTGGGCTAAATATCTAAATGTGACTGATTATGTTAGCATCATGTCCACAGATCAATATTGAGTTTTATTATGAGCCTGACTCTATAATTGCGTTTAATCAATAAACTTTTGTCTTCCTTCCTTTACAATTTTAGGATTGTACCATATAGGTTTTAAAAATTACATTTGGCTTACATTTAGGACTCTACTTCTTGTGATGACCAGAATGAGATCTGTCTATGAATTTTAAGGAACAATGGAGCCTCGGCCCCACCATTGTCAGGAGAGTCCACTTTTACCCTGATAACTGATTGCTTGCCTGATGCGTGCTACATTTCTAACCGAGCTAATGTAGTAACACCCCAGCACTCCTTTTGGGTGGTGTGTGTCTTTTTTTTCTCTCTACTTAGTAAATAATTCACATTGAAGACTTTGACAAAACATACCATTAATGAAAGCAGTCCTAAAAGCTTGCCTTTTGATAAACCCGCAGGGTCTGCAGGCGTTGAAAGATGCAATCTGCAAAGAACAAGAAATTTGGGTCTTTGATTGAAGTGCCATTTGGGACGTTATGCTTTGTCTGCGTATTTGCACAAACATGATGCTCCCTTTTTCCTATCTCTTAAACTTGAAGCTTGAGAGCATTCAGTGCCATTTCTACATGAAGGTTGGTCCCATTAAAGGCTCAAAAAAAAAAAAAAAAAAAAAAAAAAAGAAGAAAAGAAAAAGAAAAAAAAGACTGGAAGTGATCCAGCAGAAGCCTGTGTGTTCATTTCTATCCTAGTTTGCCATTTGGAAAGCAAGCTTCTAGCCATCATTGCTATTTTTTTATGACTAGACCTGGGTTCTTTTCCAGTCAATTCCTTCTTTAAACACATACTTAAAATGTATCTACTTTCTTAAAATTGGAAAATAAGATTATTTCTGTGATGAATGTTAGAAGAGGCTCTGATTGAAAGTAGGATTTCCTCATTTCAAATGATCTGCAGATTTTTCCAGATCATTTTTCACTAGGCTGCAGAAAAATTGCAATTTATGTTAATATGCTGGATTCCTGGCATCCTATTTTTTGCAGTGAAAATAATGTGTTATCATGAGGCATGCATTTGGTGTTCAAAAACTGTATTTGCCCATGAGTAAGCCAGGGAAGTAAATGTATTATACATGCTTTTCTGGATTTACAGATGCAGACCGTTTTCAGAAACATGGTATGGATGAGTTTATTTCTGCTAATCCTTGCAAGCTTGACCACGCCTTCCTTTTTAGACTACTCCAGAGGCAGACTTTGGATCACAGACTGAATGATTCCTATTCTTGCTTGGTGAGTACAAGTCTGTCCATCCAGTTCCCTGTGGGTTAGAATGAAAGATTTTTTTTTAAGTGAGAAACACTTGTTATGAAGCGGCATTTTATTCCTGACCCCTTTAATAACTGTAGTTGGGAGTTAGGGATAAAGGATTCCAATCGATTGCTTCCCAATTTGAAAATTATACACTTGAAGACCACTGCTGTGCCACTCAATAGACAGGAGAATAGACTCAAACAGACACTGACTTGTGGTTTATCAGTCCCTCTGGAGAAGGCTGAATGAAAATAAAGGCTTTAATGAAGGCCAAAAAAAAAAAAAAAAAAAAAAAAAAAAAAAACACACACACACACACCTCTGGGATAGGATTTACTAACACCTGTAGAGACATTTTAAGGTTTAAATTCTCACCAAATGTTGATATCTTTCGTTTCTCTCTTGTTTCTAGAAAGACAACCTAAGTGGCAGGGGAAAGAAACAGTGGGATAAATGATATGACAGGGCAACATGTAACAAGAAAGCTTTGGTTTCCTTTAACCTTCCAAAGATAATTTGAATTCCTTAAAAAAAAACTAAATCAAGTAGCTAAACTGCTACTCAATGTGTTGAAACCAGGCAGAATTTGGCATATAAAGTACCGTTTACATATAGAAGGAATGCTTGACCCCTCAGAATGTGGGCATTAAACTGTAGCCTAGGAATTGCACGTACCTTTCCAAGGATTTATATCAGTGGCCATTGCTCTGAAATGTGTCCGGCCTGAATATGCCTGTTTCCATCACCACATGGTCTTTTGACTGTTGAACATGGTATGGCAGCTACCTACAATAAAGCTACGGTCTCTTTAAAGTAAGATTTTAGACAGGATGTGCTCCAAGCTCATTGGACATGTTTGAATAGGCAGGAAGAATTAAAACCACTTACTGCTGTGATCACAATTTACTGTCCTGATAATTCATTTGTACATTCATTATTAAGTACACTACGTGCATGGTTTAAACCTGATCCAGCCCAAACTTTACAATTATATGGAGAGTGAAATCATCACAAGACCTGATGGTGCCTTTCCGGGGACAAGCACACACACAGTGGACATCAGTGACGGGCTTCCCTTGTGGATTTCCACTCAGTGGAGTTAGGTACTGAATTACAAAAGTTGTTTTGGTTAAGTGGATGACCCCACGTGTCATAAGGAGTCTGAGGAGAGCACTACAGTGTGTCTTCAACTGCATCTAGAGGGTAGTGAGCATGGTGTGATGAGAAAAGGGTGTTTGGAGGCAGGATGGATGGCCCTGGATGTAAATCATGGCCCGACAATCGACTTTCAGTGTCTCGATTAATTCACTAAATGTTGCTGCATTGTAGTTTATGTGGCTGTGACAGGGAGAGCATAGTAACTACCAGGCACGATGGCTCTAATATTACAGAGAGCGCATAATATTGTATGTCCAGTTCGGTGCCTGTACCATCACCACAGTAAGTTTTTGAGAGCTTGTTTTTCTCCGTCTTAGTGTTCTTGCTGTCTTAGCTTTCTGCATTTCTCACCAATCTTTTCCTTCTCTTGCGCCATTATCCTGCCCCCTTTTAAAACCATTTATTTCTTAGTTCATATAATCCATCAAAACATTTTATGAACCAACTCTGCCTAACCCTGCCCTCCAGTATTGGCCAAGCAGACACTACCTGCTGGTTCAGTTGGCTCACACACACACACACACACACACACACACACAAGCGCACAGACACACACACCTTTCACATCTCGTTTCAAGAACACCAAAAACTATTATAAAACATTAACTCTGTTATATTGGTCACAGAAGGACAAACAGAACGAGTACAATGTCCCAAAAATGTAAATTTCCAAATAGCATATGTTTACCGCTGCTAGACTTAACTAGGATTTTCTTATAAAAGTGCTTCTGGCAACTCGGCAGTTTCGATTATGGTGTCTGATTTACCGTTCTCTTTTTAATTGACTCATTCATGGATCGAAGTTTGTCAGAATGTTTTTCTTCGTGACTGACAATTTTAGATACTGTGAATAAATTTAGTTAATTTTGAATGACGGTGGAGAAAAACCGGTTTCCCGTGCCTTGCCGTGGCAATAAAGAGAGAATGGTGTTAGGTGACCAGCGTCCCAGATCAGGTCCAAAACTGTTGACATTAGCTTTCTGAAAATAACATGCAACATGCTACTAATAAAAAAAATATATCAAAAGACACTTTGATGCAGCTTCTTCTTATAATGTCTAAGAGTGCCTACAGAAAAGCAAATCCTAGTACAGAAAGAAAAAAAATTTTTTTTTCTTTTGCAGGGTTGGTTTAGCCCTGGCCAAGTCTTTGTGTTAGATGAGTACTGTGCCCGTTACGGTGTGAGAGGCTGTCACAGACATCTCTGCTACCTTACAGAACTGATGGAACATTCAGAAAACGGTGCTGTCATTGACCCAACCCTGCTCCATTACAGCTTTGCATTCTGCGCCTCTCACGTGCATGGCAACAGGTATTTTTACTTGCAAACACGCAGTGATATATGTAGGGTTGACTTGGGAAGAGAGAAAAATGTGCTTTGCCACTATCACCTAGTAACAGATTTTAAATAGCAAGCACTTCTTGCAAGAGACGGGAAAAAAACCCACAAAGGAAAAATGTACATCAATATGCTGTTGATTTAGGTTGGCTGCACTTTATGTTTCTTTTTGCCATTGAAGCCACTTGAAAGAGAAAGGAAGAGAATATCTAGGAGATTAGAAGTTGCCTTTTAGTTCTTAGGTACCACCTCACACTCAGGTCTGCACAGCTGAAGTGTCTTCTGTATGTTCATCATGATGCATATGTATGTCTGGGTAGAACTTGTTGATAGGTCCGTGTATACCTAATGGTCCATCCTTGCCTTTCCGCTGTGGAATAAGTTTTCATTGATAAAGCAAGATAAATAAGGAGGTTTATGGGGAGTCTCCTCTTAGCTCCTGTTCTGTACCTTAGGAGCAAGTGTCCCATTTTAGCACCCTGAGCCAGTGATCTCACCTTTTGCTTTACCAAAAGGACAAAAAAAAAAAAAATCACCTAATACAGGCACCCCACAGCTATGTGCTTTTGAGCTTAAAATCTCTCCATGTCTCATTCCCTACCTTTTCTTCATCCTGTTCCAGGGAACCTTATTAGGGTTCCTCCCACAAAGGGGTTACCCCTTATCCCATCCCCCTTTTGGCTTGTTTCAACCATCATTCCATCTCTCCATCTTCCTATTTCCTTTCTTCCCACAAACCTGTGTAAGCTTTTGCTAGCCTCACAGCATTACAGGATGGTCAAGGGACTCTGAAGTCAGAGTGCTGAGTTCAAAGGAATACAAATTAACAGTGTGAGGTAGGGTAAGCTTCATCATCTAGTGAAGTGTCTGGGTTTCCCTGTCCTTGAGAAGGATAGAACATAGCATCTTTCTCAGAAGTCATGAATTGGCTAGGGATTAAGTGCATTAGTATGTGTCAGGTACTTAGAACACTTCCTGACACATGATTTGTCAAAAAAAAAATGTTAACTGGTAGTTTATGTTGTCGTAAGTGTTGTTATTATGTCAAGCTACCTTTCCATTGTTCTCTTTATCTCCCCAACCAATCTTCTGTCTCCATTCCCCCATCTGCTTCTGGCTTCTAGCTCCTCACTTACCAACAAGGCTTCTTGAAATAGATTGCATAATGACCTAATCCAGGAACCTCTTCTCCGGCTTCACCTTCGCTACTCCCACTGAAAAGATGATGCTCTTGAATTTCCCAGGGTCTGTGCTGCTTGAACTGCTGCTTATCTCCCTGGTGCCGTACCGCCTCATGTCGGCTCTCCCCTTATTTATTTTTGACCATCTCTTTGCTAATAATTTTTGTTCCTCCAGACTCCCAGGTACAGGATAGCTCTTTTCTCACATCTGTTCTTGAACTTGCTCTTCTTTCTGAGAATTTTTCTACTTCACAGAAAAATTGTACTTCAGTGATCTTGCCCCTTTCCACAGCGACCTCTCTTTTTACAGACAACTCCATCCCAATGACTCTTCTAAACTATAGGTCTCTATTGACCATGGATGGCTTGAATGTTCTGGTACTTTCAACTCTGTGTATAAAATAAGTCTGTCATCTCACTAGACCAGCTTCTGTACCTCTTGTAGCTCTTAGCAGGGTACCTGGCAAAGAGTAACGAAATAAGTGCTCAGTAAACATTTGATGAGTGAATGAATGACTTCACTAGTTATGTTAATATCACTTCCATTAATGACGTATTCATTTTCCATTCATCTTTTGCTTGTACCTTCTAGACCCAGTCTGTTGCCAGTGTCAACACTGAGCACTCCTCAGGTTCGCTTTTTTATCATTTTCATTGCACTATCCTAATTCAAGCCTTCATTTTTTTCTTGCTTATTTATCTTTATACATGTCTCTACTGCTTTTTTTTTAATTTTTTTTTAAGTTTATTCATTTTTGAGAGAGAGAGCATGAGCAAGGGAGGGGCAGAGAGAGAGAGAGGTAGACACAGAATCCAAAGCAGGCTCCAGGCTCCAAGCTGTCAGCACAGAGCCTGACGCAGGACCCTAACTCACAGAGCATGAGATCATGACCTGAGCTGAGGTCAGAGGCTCAACCGACTGAGCCACCCAGGCGCCCCATCCATCTCTACTGCTTTTTTTAAAAAAATTATTTTAAGAGAGAGCACAAGCCAGGGAGAAGGGCAGAGGGAGGGAGAATCTTAGGTTCCACCCTCAATGCAGATCACAATGTGGGGCTTGATCTCAGAAACCATGAGATCACAACCTGAGTTGAAATCAAGAGTCTGACGCTTAACCAACAGAGCTACCCAGGCACCCCTCTCTGCTGCTTTTTGCCCTCCCTACAAAAGTCTAGCAATCACCTTCAAAATTACAGATTAACTTTTATTCTACTCCTTTACAAAAAATTTCAGTGATTCTTGTTTGATTAGGAAATTAAAGATAAGTTCCAATCTATATTGTTAGGGTTTTCTCTACATATTTCTTGTCTGATCTACCCAGACTTCTCTCCCAGTATGCCTCCATATATAATCTTTACCCCAGACAACTCATTTATTCATCATGTCCTATTTGTCGTTTCCCAAATTTGTAATCGTCCTGTATCATAAAGCTCCTCAAAGAAAGCTTCAGTTAACTTAAACACTAAAAACCTTATGCCTGTAGTTTTCTTATGAACTTTATCCTGCATACCTACATGCTGCATCCATGCCCACACTCACCTGCTTCTATCCTAGTAGGTCATATTTTAAAGGCAAAACCCAGCTCTCGTTCACCTGTTGTGCTCTGCAGGAGGAGACCACACTGCCTTGTACATTGTGGGCACACAGTAAGTATTTGCTGAGTTGAAGTTGTCATTGTTGCCATTCTCATTCCACAGTAAATGAAAACCAATCCTGGTCTCAGGATCTGGGACCTAATTATGGAACACAACCTTAACTTGAGAATTAAGGGGAAACTGCAGATTGTAGTCATTTCCCATTACCCTAAACTAAATCATCTACACTCCATAAACTTTGGTGGGGGTGAGGTGGAGGGTAACGGGGTGGCAACAACAGGGGACAGTCAGGATCACTAATCAATAGCCAACATGAGCAGTTTTGTTTTTTTTAAACTAAAACTGTTTCTTAGCTCCTGGCTCTGTCTTACCTCCTCCTGACCAATGGATGTCAAAAGATACGTCTCCCAATGTTAGTTAGGCAGGATTCCGAAATGCAAGCGGCTGAGAAGGTTGTACTGAAACAGACCTACCCAAAGAATTTGGTACAATCAGATTATTTTCATCATTAACACTGAAAGGGATAATTAAGTTGAGAACCTTAAGTAGGACATTCAGCTAATGCTTCCCCAAAACGTGTATGTTTGAGACACATTTTAATGGAAAGTTACTGAGGCAGCTGGGAACTGCCACCTTGGAGGCAGGCTGATTTGAATCTATAGGTTGCCATAGTTACTTTTATTCTGTAAAGCTATTGTTTTCTTTATAATGGTACACTGCAAAGTATAATATAAGGTGTGCTTATATGTTCATGCTTGTGTTATGCTTAACATAAATCCATTTTCTGGGTTAAAATGTGTACATTTTCAGATATCTCTGCATGGTATAAAACAAATACGGGTCAGTCTGGGATTCAACATTTAGGTCACGTGCAGCTTAAAAAAGAAAGGAAGAAATGCAGTTTTAGGGAAATTTGAACCTCAGTTTGAGGTAGAAATTATCTAAGATAAGCTGACGGGTATGATGTCATTCAGAAATGCCATGCCATCACAGTGAACGAATAAAAAGAGGCAAAAGATCACTACTTGAATCTAACTCTGAAATCTGCAAACTGACCCATTTTGGGCAAATGACTTAATCTTTCTGAAACTCCCAAGTTCTCATGTGTAAAAGGGGAAATGCTAATATGAAGATACTGGGTAATTATCAGTACTTATTAGTTGTTATTCTAACAGTGCTTTTTCCCTTTGCCACCCAGCCACAGGGACGTAAACTGTATGGAGAAAAAAACGTGATAAATAGGTAGAGCTGTGGTATCTCATGCTAAGTGGAAATATTTCAGTGCATATGTAATTATAATCTTCATTTCTTTGCTGATAGAATATTCAGGTTTTAGCAACCTCGCCTTATGAAAATAAGCTTCTCTTATCCGAGTCTGCAGTATCTGATATTTATACAGACTTTTGTTAAAAATACCATCAATGTCAAGTCGGACTTTTCTACAGTATTTGCCATAGTCTCTCTTTATGATCGTTTTTATCTGTCAAGACACATTCAGAGCTCCATTTTGCTCATTACCTGAGCTACCTCTGTCAAAAATTCAAAAGGAAAAAAGATTGCCTTTTGTCATTGACTGAAGTGAAGGACAACAGTGCCGTCTGGATCTGAAATTTTTCCGGGAGCACATCCTATTACACAGCATTGAGCTCTCAAGGTGCTCTGTGCCGACCCATCTTCTCTGAATAGCACTCGGAGTGTTTCAGGAATAAAAGAATAGAGTTAAACAGAAAAGGTCTGGCTGGTACTAAGATGGAGGAAGAGAGAGAAAAAGAAAGGAAGAAAGAAAAAAGTGAGTCAAGGACAGAAACAGACACATTCCTCCTGCAGGATGATAGCCGCACGTCTGTGAATAACAGAGCCACTCAGTGATCGTGACACTAAGGACTGACAGGAACGAGAAAAGAGACTTTCAGAGACTATGCATTATAGGGCAAAGTTCTAGGTTGATATGTGTGGTTATGCATCTTGGTTTTGCTTGTTACGCTGAGGGTGGAGAAGCTAAAGCAGCAACACAAAATGGCTTTTATGTGTCAGTTTAATATATGGTATGTATACAGGGTATTCACTGGCTTGGCCACAGTTTAGTGGGCCTGCCTTAGAGCTGCTGCACGTCTGACAAAAGCCAGCTCAGATGCGCTTTCAAGTGTAGGGATGGGTTTGTAACATGACTAGAGTTTATATTGAAAATAATCTCGAT